GTGTGTGTGTGTGTGTGTGTGTGTGTGTGTGTGTGTCCTTGTTTTTTCTAATTGGTGGGGACAATTTTTCAGGAAAATGCAGCCTCATGGGGACCAGATGCTCCTTTTGGACAAGGACCAAAGCCTGGTCCCCACAACTTCGGAGGCTGATTTTGGGTGTGGGGGTTGGGTTTAGGACCAAGGTGTGAATTGAGTTTAGATTAGTTTTAGGCTCTGGTTAATTTTAGGGTAATTGGTCAGGAAATGAATGGAAGTCAATGGAAAGTCCCCACAAGGATAGAGAGATAGTAGGTGTGCATTTGGTTTTTGTTACATTTTTAGTGGCTATTTCCTGGTATAATTACCAACAGAATTTGTAGACCTTTTGGGGATCAAAGCCCGGTCCTAATACAGTCAAATATCATTTTTTTGTTAGAGGTTTAGTTTTGGGCTAAATTGAGTTTATATTTCGTTCTGTTTTTAGGCCACGCAAATAAATGTACCACCTAATGTCCTAACAGGGACGGAAACCCAAACTTGTGTGCGTTTGTGTGGTTAATGGATTGAATGGGCATTCAAGGTCGTGATCTAATGGGTTTATATTTACCTGCCTGCCTTCAGCTGCTCCTCAGTTAGTCCATTAGAAAACAAGAAAATCACTTTTTCAGAGAAAAACAAAAAACATTTTGATTGACTTGAAGTTCAGATGTTTCACCCCGCCTTCAGAAATACAAACCCATTTCTAAAATCCACACATTAAGTTACTGCTGTTGATCATTGAACATTTGACACCCAATTAGCTAAAACTACAACAGATATTTTTAATTGAAAAAAAATACATTCATTTAACTTTACAAGCCATTTGCAATGTAACAAATGCAAGAACTTCTGTTATGTGTCACATTTTGGGTGTCAGATGCACGTTAGAGATAACTTTGGTAATTTGCAAATACGTGAAATGCAATTTAGCTGAGAACCAGACTCAGACCTTTATTTATGTATTTTAAAACTTTAATTTCTTTGCAAAAAAACCCCAAAATAAACATAAACGGACCAGTAAATCGAGAGCTTTACCTTTAGACTGAACTCTTTCTTCACCACGACTGACCGAAGCAACGCTCTCAAGATTTAACACATTTTCTTACCTACTTTACACCACAGTTCATATCCTTTATGACTAAAGATAATATATTGCACGACAAATACTCGTGATAAAACAACACATCCAAATGTTCAAATGGGCAAGGATGATTTGCATTTAAGTTCCAGTGTTTTTCTCCTCCTGAGTTTTGTCACAATGGGCCTCATGCAAGAACATGTTCGTATTCTTATCCTAAATTTCTCTTACTTTTGTTCGTACRAAGGGTTCGTACGAACATGTCACGTCAGATTCAACAAACTCTTCTATCTTCAGGAAAAGNACTTTAATCTTGTAATATTACGACTTTAATCTTGTAATATTACGACTTTATTCTCATAATATTATGACTTTATTTTTATACGACTTTAATGTCGTAATATTATGACTTTACTCTCGTAATTTAAAATAAAAATAAAAAAATAATTAAAAAAAATCTTGTGTGGCCCTAATACTTTGTCGTACATTTCAATTTGGATTTATATATTTTTTTGTTGTGTATTTATATTGTGTATTTTTTTTGTTTTTGTTTTTAATGTGTATAAAAAAATTTTTGTTTGTTTTTTGTTTTAAATGAAATGAATAAACTAAACTAACCTTCAGTGAAAGGGAGGACTTCATGTGGAGAGACAAACTTATGGAAGGTATCCTCCTCATTTGGAAACTATAAAGAGAAAAAGGGAGTTCAAGTTAAATCCGTTGCGTTTCAAAGAAAGTGCAAAGCTGCCGGACTCGGGTGTTTCTCTGACCTGAGGTGAGAGCTTGAACATGGGAGCACAAACGATGAGAGGTGTCGAGTGATGTTTGGCTGCGAGGGCGAGAGTGTGTGTCCCGTTCACGGCCCTCAACCCTCCGTTGGCTAGAACCGTCTGAGTACCGATGATAACCTGCACAGAAACCACCGCACACGTGAAACGACACGTCCCGATCACGTTCCTGTTCTAGCATCTTCAGCTCGGGCGAATACCTTATTAACTCGCGACATGACCGCGAATATGGCGGCGTCTGTAATCACCGTCGTTTCTATGCCGGCTGTGGAAAGGCCGGTGGCCATCTCGTGTCCCTGGCAGAATGGGGCGCACTCCGCCACGATGACGTGGAACTTGCGTTTGCGCGCCGCGTCTTTCAGGAAGGCCTCCACCGTGCGAGAGCGCCCGATCGTCATGATGACCTCGTTGGAGTGGATGTGCTCCAGCGCCTGGATGGCGATGTATTCGGTGGTTCCCTCTGAAAACCATGAAGGAAATGTGGGGGGGGGGGGGGGGGGGGGGGCACGCTTTAGACTCGAGTAACAAATTTGATTTTGCTTCAACTGCCAACGCACCCAGCTCCGTCAGCAACTCCTTTATCGCCTCGATGACATTGGCTTTGAGGTGAGCAAAATGCTGCCTGAAGGTTTCCTCACCGAGTCCTCCAGAAGTCAGCAGCTTGTGGAGAGACTCCTGCTGGTCCGCCTCTTCACTGCTGCCTCGAGACCTAAAGGTGTAAAAGTTTGCACAAAATAAACATACACGTTGTAGAGGGTGTGTATTCAACCTTTATATTGTCACGGCAGGGGCCTTATTTCACACAGAATCTGGATGTGGGTCTTTCAGAGCTGACTTGTAGCTCTGGAAATGTCTTAATTAAAAGTTTTGATGCCTCTCAGTTACAGAAAATAAGAAACGAGTGGTCCACAATTTATTGCTTTTGATAAAAAAACAGTTAAGAAAACAGTGGCAAGTTTAAAAAAGTTAGAATGATCAGCAATAGTTTTTATTAAAATAAACTCTGCTTGAATAATTTGAGTACAGTTGATTTTCTGTATGTATATTTTTAAAATACAGTTGAAACTATTACAATTTTAGTGGTTTCCCTATTAAGATAATAACATTTGATATCTTTAATCATAAACGTTTCAAAAGTCTGCCTAAAAAAGAAACATTACATTAAACTCAGTAAGGTCCACTCTTAAGATGAACGAAAAGCATTTTATTTTGAAGAGTATATAGTTAATGACCACAGAGTTCAAACTTTAGTTATCGCTATAATAACATAGATCAGTAGTTAAATAATTTATTGCCAATTTTAAATTTATCAGTAAAAAGGAGGTGGCCTCCTCACCTGGCGTATTCCTCTCTGATGATCTTCAGCACCCTTCGGATCATGTTGCCCACAGTGGTCTCTGATGGCTGAGCTGCGGTCATTCTCCTGCCCTCTTTATGGATAATCTCCATCAGATCGCCTGAAACAGAAAACATTAACGTCAAACATGTGCAAAGACATTTTATGGTTTTTCATGCACAAAATCTTTAAACTGTGCGTCACATTTATAATCCTCAAGAATGCATGTTTTGGATGTTTCATCTGATTTTGAACGAATGGGTGATTAACAGGTTTCTGCATGGACACCTGCAGTGGAGGAGGGAACAACTGCTTGTTGAGCTCAAAGTTAGGCTAAAATTAACTAATAATGTGATATTTAGTTCTGGCAGCTGTTAAAACTTTGGTTCAAACTCTTATCCCCGTTTTGACACTTCGGTTCACCGCTTTGCTGCGACATCATAGTTTGCTTTAAGTACAAATAAACAACAACAACATGGAAGCACCTGCGCTGCTCCACCGAGCCTGGGCTGTAATTCTGCGGAGTAACTCCGTCGTTTCTCGGGCAGTCTCAGCCGAACCCCTCAGAGGTCCGGTCCCGCTGCCTCCCCGCTTCAGGTCGGATAGAAAAGCTTCGACCCTCTCCGTCAGATCTGTTTCTTTGTTCGGACCTGGCATTATTAAAATATTAATAACGAAAAAAGGCAAAAGAGAACCAACTAAATTTCTGCTATGAGATATTTTAGCACGGAAGTAGTTCTGAAGTACATCCGGGTCAGAGCAGTAGTGCTGCTCTCTTCTTCTTCTTCTTCTTGTCGGTTTTATGGCGGTTGGCAACAAACTGTTAGTAGCATTACCGCCACTTACTGGTATGGAGTGTG